TCTGTAACTTTTATTTTTATTTTTATTCAACTTCCGTTTTTATTCAAGTCATTTTTCTGTTCAACTTCTTATTAAAGTGTCACTGAAAGGTTTTAGTCTTGATGGTGTAATGACACTTACAAGTGTCACTAACTCTTTTTTTAATGGCGCTTGATAGTGCCACAAATAATATCTACCATGACATTAAAATGTCATTGAAAGTTTTCAGCCATGATGGTGCAGTGGCACTTGCAAGTATCTACCGTGGCACTCGTATCTACCGTGGCACCGATAGAAGTGGCACTTGTTCAAAATGCCACAAGACCAAAAAATGTCATTAGAAGAATAGTTTTGTGACACTTTCAAATGTCACTAAACTAAGAAAATGTTGTAGTGAGAAATGATAGTAAATAGCTTATGAATAAATTGTAATGTTAACGGTTATGATGGCTATGTTGAAGTTACAATGTTTTAGGGTTTTGAAATTGAACAAAATATAGAATGGAAGAAAGTTAAGTAGAAAAAAGCATAAAGTATAAAGTTTATATATTTCCTTTTCAAATTTCACATATCATGTTATGATATTTAATTTTAAGTAATTAATATGATGAATAAATTAATTCCTACTGAAAGGGAGGTTAATTAGCTAAGTAATATATATAGTATTTTTTTAGGAGCATTTACGTACAAGTCTTAATTTATGAACTTATATTGCATTGGACCTTCAAGACCCATTAATTTTTTAATAGTCGAAATTATCTTTCAAACAATTATTGTTCATCATTTATAATTATATATAAAGGAACATGATAATTTGACATTTATTTTGATTTTCAAAACTTTAAAATTTCAACTTTCAAATTGAAAAAAATAAAAATAAAATTATATGCAAATTTTTTTTTTATATTTTTTGAAAAAATTGAAAATTTTGAATCATTTTTTGGTGCAAAACTAAAAATTTTGTATCTATAAAGGAACATGATGATGGAACATTGATGTGCAAAAAAAAAAAAAAATGATAATGTTCTCAGTTTTAAAAATGAAAAAAGTTGATAATTCTCTCAATTTTATTGAATAGTTGAATTAAACCAATAAGTAAAAAGACAAAAACGTTCATTCTTTGTTTTTTTTATCAGTTAGTGAAACAATTATTTTGAACATTACTATGCAAAATTGATAATATTCTTATTTTTAAAAATTAAAAAAAACTGATAATATTCTCAGTTTTACTAAATATGATTTATTGGTTAAAAAAATATTAGATAAGACCTGAGCTACCATAATATTTATAAATAGGACTTTTAGGTAATTAACTTATTTTTTATATGATGAAAAAGCGATTTTTTAAATCACGTGTATGTTGTTAAGTAGTAAATTTTGAAATTTGAATCCCTAAATTATAGGTGAATATCTCCAAATCATAGGTGAATATTCATTAAGTGATTTGCTGACAATGATTTAAATTTTTAGTAACCAATTAATGTTTTTCTCATCTTATAAAATAGTAAAAAATCAACAAAATTGGTTTAGAGTTTTGAAACTCTTAAAGCTCTCAGTTAGAAACCTTATTTTCCTTAATATATAGACAACAACAGTAGTAGTAGCAGCAGCAGCAGCAGCAACAACAACAATAATAATAAGATAAATCCTATGATTAGATACAAATTAGATTGAGATTACATTACTAAAAATTTTGACATTCTATTCCATTTGTGATTTTTGGATCTCCTAATTTGTTTCAATATTTATTTTTTTATGCTTAATTATATCCATTTATGTAACTAGTGACAATAGAATCATTTTATATCACATAAGATTTGATGAATTATAAAATTTTTCATAAGAATAAATAGAATATAAGTAATTCAAATGGGACTTTTTAATAAATGTCCCTATTGTTTGTTGCTTTGTTTCTCTTATTTGCCTCAATTTGACCCACAGAATTGAGATTAGTGGTGAATGACTTTTTCATCATGTTCTGTATTTTCTTGCAAACACGACACATTTTTAGCAGTGTTATGAAGCTTCGAGAATTTAGATTCAGTTGGAGAAATGCCACTTGTTTCATTTCCATATGATGCTATGATTTTTTTAAGAATTATCGCAGAGTGAACTGATTGATGTATTGAATGAAATACTTGCCCTAGATTTTGGGCAACCTTAAAAGATTGGCTTCTGAAACACACTTTTTGTTGTACAGGTTTGAATTTGATTTGTTTGACATCTTGATAGAGATAAACCCTCACTACACGAAATTATACTTTTGTCCACCACACGAAATTATACTTTTGTCAATTAATAGACAAAAATCTGCTTTTAGTTGGTAAAAGTTTTTTATGATTAATTTTTTTAGTTGCCACTTTGGTCGCAAATACAAGGTCGGGAAAAGTAATTAGTGATTAAAAATTATTTTAGTATGGAAAAAAGATTTTTGTCGACTAAATTTTTGATCGCTGAATATATAATTACCGCGACTAAACTATTTTGTAGCTAAAACACTTTACTTGCCAAAAGTGATATTTTCCTGACTAAATATGTGACACCCCGAAATAAATAACAACAGTCCATCTCATAACACTCTTTACAAATGATCAAGAACCTCACATTTGATATTCCATTTATAATTTTGATCATACAAAAGATGACATATGCGGGTATACATTTATAAATCATAAATCCTGAATTTACAGCATATGACATGGATATATGAATTAAAAGAAAAGCAAAATCGAGTAATTATATGCCCTAATGGCTACGTCTTTCAAAGTCAATGCTTGGATACATCAAAATGAGTTTAACTCAATACAATTAAAGTCCAATGCTTATACAAAAATAATTACATCAAATAACAAAACGAAACCTTTGGCTCCAAGTCTTCCCATACTATGTCCTTGATGGAGGCATATCATCAGTACCTAAAAGTTGTTTTCCACATATGATGAGCCAAAACTCAATAGAGATACTTTAACATAATATATGAATCTTAACAAAGTCAAAAGGTGAATGCATATGTATGCCATTTGTCAAACATTTCTCATTTCCCTCTCAAAACTATACAATGCCAGATTATATATCAATTCATGAAAATAATCCTTTTATAATAGAAAACATGATAGTGGTTACAAAACATTGGGAATCTCTAGATACGTGTTTCCCAGTAGGCTATAAAAGTACTATCAAAACCGTTTTATCGGTATTAATGGGAAGGATCGACACCTAATTGCGCGGATTTCTGGACTTTTACCAAGGACACACATGCCAACATAACAATCATAACCACACCCCCTAACCAGATTCACTAAGGTATACACTCATTTTTCTCAAAACAAAACATTTTCAATGTTTAAGTATGCAACAATGTTCAATGCAAGATGTGGAAATGATTAATTTCAATTCACCTAATTTTTATGTAATTTCTACAACAATCAAACTATTTTTCACTGATAGTCCAAAATAGATATTTCTATACAACATATAATTTCCAACAAAAGATATAATCTTATTATTGTAATGACTCAAAATAAATAAATAAATAAATAAATAAAGGAAGGAAATATATGCATGATGATGTTTTTGTGGTGGAGGATTTTTTTTTTTTTTTTCAAGCGGAGGATATTTCTTTAAAAAAGAGAGAAGTGAGTGCTGGAGTGGGGTTCAAGCATGGAAAGAAAAATTTTTTTATAAAGAAAACCACATAAGGCAGCTCAAGGTGAAGAGTACAGAAATGGGGGCCTCTCACACCAAGTGAAAATGTCCTGGAAGTCGGTCCAGGGAAAGTGGTAAATCTCTCTCATCTCTCATATAGTTTTACATATTTATACATAACGACCCATGAATGAATGAGTAGTGTGGTCATTTCTGCAGTATATTTCTTTTCATCATGCGAGTTTATTCAGGTTCTGCTTATATGTAAATCGAAGCAATTCAAGTCTCTACATCTTTTTAAAATCATTTGGACTGGATGGGTAAGACAATTCATTTGTCTGGGTTTCCATACCTTGTTTCTGCGGAAACAGTCAAGGAATTCTTAGAACAACACTTACCTGCAGGGTGTTAGATCCAATAATCTACAGTTCTGGCCTTCGCATACTGTTTATCAAGGTTGATTCGACAAACACAAAAATTCTTTATGGAGTCAAATGACTGTAATGATGCAAGAACTATGGGCTTCCAATTTGCTGGGAAAGCTGTTTATACGGCAGTATGGGTTGCCGCTGTTTCGTTGTTTGTGGAATTGCTTGGTTTCTCTACCCAAAAGTGGCTTACTGTTGGGGGTCTGGGCACAGTATTGATCACCCTTGCTGGTGGTGATATATTTACAAATTTTCTTTCGAGTGTAATGATCCATGTGACTTGATCATTTGTTGCAATGTTGATTATAGTTGCTGGTAGTGGGAAAGGCCAATTCTTGGCCCACGTTGGTTTTTGGTTCATGTGTTTGGCCCACGTTATTTATGGGCAGTGTGTATATTGGGCTTGTGAGTTGTGGGCAGTGTGTTTTTAGCCCTTTTTGTGGGATGGCTGGTAGGGGCACGCGTAGTGAACTTCAGACCCATGTTCTTGAGAGAGGGCCGGCCCTGAGTTCGTCGGGGCCTAAGGCGAATTTCGGAAATGGACCCTTTTTATATTAAAAAAAAATTCATGAATAAAACGATAAGTTACAAATTTTTTATTTGTTTGTAATCATAAAAAAATTTACTTACACATATAATTATTAAAATTATAAATAAAACAATTTAATAAAACAAAATTAGAACAAAAAAATTAGGAAAAAATTATTCAATTAAAATTGATAAAGACCTAGGTAAAAAAATTTGAGCAAAATTATTTATTCCACTAAAATCTAATAGATAAAGAAGGTAAAAATAAAAAATAAAAAAAATAGGGCCCATATATTGTATGTATTATTTTTCTTGAGCCCAAACACTTTTTTTTTAATATATATTTTCATTTTAATAAATATGGACCAAACTACACTTATAAATAAATATGGAGTAAATCATACATGGACCCAAAAAAATATTTTGGGGCCCTTTAAATTGACCCTAAAACCAAAAAAAAAAAAAAAAAACATTGAGCCTATAATATTTTACCAAATTTAGGGGTCCTATTTTTAGGCCAAATTTAGGGGCTCTATGTTATATATGTTTATATGTTTTACCAAATTTAGGGGCCCTATTGTTTTTTATTTATTTATTTATATATTTTCATTTTAATAAATATGGGCCAAACACATTTATAAATAAATATGGGCTAAATTATACATGGGCCCAATAAAACATTTGGGGCCCTTTAAATTGATCTTAAAACCAAAAAAAAAAAAAAAGATTGAACCTATAACAATTTTTTTAATTTTGAGGCCCTATTTTTAGACCAAAATATGAGGTCTAAGGCACAAGTCTTACCTTGAGACCAAAATGAAGAGCTTAGCGAGAGTAACATTTTGATCGGTGGAAATCGAATTTCGGCAACGTCGAATTTTAGAGGTTTCATCTCATTTCTTCTTCAAAATTTGAGGTAGGGATTTTCTACACTCTACTATGGCTTTTAACTTAGTTATTTGCTATTGTGTATAGATGATGAGATTTGGTTGTGGTTTGGACAAATCTAAGATTTGGGTGTGAAATGAAAAGAGGAGTTTTTGATGTATGAGAGATAAATGAGTATGGGGTTTGAATATAAGATCTTGGTGTACCAAAATAGTTGATTTTGGGTGTTTGGGTCAATATTGGAAAAAGGGAAATTTTTGTCCTAACTTGATAAAATGATTATTTTGTATAAATAATTGGAATTAACATTTAATGTGTGTTAAATTGGATGGTTATAGATGTAGGTGGTGAAATTGGTTATGTATTGTCTCACACCTTTGGAAGTTCTAAATAATTATTTATCTTGAGATTTAACATATGTCTAGAGATAAATGTATTGGGCTATCGGTGGAGGATAATCATGATTGTTGTAGAAATTGTATGAGGATTAGGTGATTTAATGCTAATCTATTGATTGGTTGTCATTGAATATGACCGTGCTATAAACACATTGTATATGTATGTTTATTGGGAGGAGATAGGGGATGTACTCCATAAGTGGTTATGTTTATAAATACATTGTATATGTATGTTTATTGGGAGGAGATAGGGGATGTACTCCATATATGATTATGTCTATAAATATATTGCATATGTATATTTGTTTGGCAGGAGAAAGGGGATGAACTCCATTTTAAAGCAAGTTGGCTAGAGTGTCCTGGGTGAAAGACCCGAAATTATATATAAATGGTGCTGGTTCCTTCGAACGAAATATCCGTAAAATGGCAGGATCGAAGTGTTTATGTGTGTTTTGCATAGTTGGAAAACCATTGAGTTGTAGTCTCATTTTGGTTGTCGAAAGCTCAAGAATTTAACTCATGAATTAAGTAGCATATCTGAACTAGAAATGAATTGAAGGAAAATGGAATAAGATTGGTCTTAGTGGCATATGATTATACAGGCCTTGTGAATATTTTCGTATCGGTATTGTTTATATACGTGGTATTTATACCTTTGCTAAATCTCATAAATTGTGTTAGATTATTTCTATTGGGCTGTTGGCTCACCTTATACGGGAATATCATTTTCAGGTGCAAGTGAGATGTTTCCTCCAAGCCAATAGTATGGATGGACTTTCAGGAAGCAAGAGCTTCTTAATTATGCATTATGTGTGTATGTTTGTTATTTGTAAAGCCAAGGGCTTAAGTTGTAATGAGCGAGACTCAATTTGTATAACCAAGCAATGACTTGGAAAGATGTAAGCCTATAAGGCTTTTAACTGGTTGTCAAACAGTGAACTCTGATGTATGAAAGTATGTTGTTTCTCATATTTATTCCGCATATGAGCTATCTTTATTGTATTATTTTGGGAGCGTGACAATTATTTTCAAAATGGAAGGGATATTACATATCCAACTTTACCATCATCATCAACATATACATTGTTCCATTTTCACAAAACATAACATCATTTCCATTCTCTTTCATAAACCAATGTCCATGATTGTAGACGTCCCCGAACGCCCCGGGAGGAACGAGGTCTCCCGTTCCGTTTGGTATTGGGCTCACTACAGTTCAGGACTCTTAAATTGTCACGGTTCTAAATCTGAACCAAATAGTCTAAATCCGGCAAATCGTTTTGAGAAAACAGATTTTGAAAGAAGTGCCAAACATGGACTGCTTTGCCAGATATAGAGTCGCCACCTAAATGTTTTAATTTGGAGAAATTTAGGAAACCCTGACTCGTTTGCCTAAGGCCACGTGTCCGTCATCACCAAAGTTGCCTCGGCGCGGGAACTTGGGTACGATTGGGGAAGGTCACTTCGTGAGCACCCCCGCTCGTCCGATCAAAGATCGGCCTCTACTAACCATGATATCTATTTTTGAAAACATTATGTGTTCTTATTCCGGTTATAAGCCTAGAATACTATGTGATGCGCACAGCATACAAGTATAGATTGGATCGCCTGAATTGGAACAAAACGTTTCATGTTTGTTTATTTGAAAATGGTTTGATGGTGCTACCCGCAAGTAGGCTAAGACGTGGATTTGTTACCCTCAGGTGGGCTTAGAAAACATGATTTTGCCACTATCTTGTGGGCTTAAAACAAACAGTTGATGACTTATTCCAATCCAAGTAACCCAACCTTCACCCACAAGCATTCAGGCAGTTATATCACATAAGCATTTAGCCTCATGG